AAGGTGTAGACAGGGACCAGGGGGCATCCGTACCGGAGGGCCATGCGAATGAAGCCCTTCCGAATCTTGAGCACCAGTGTGGTCTCGGGCGTGTACGGGTTCGTCGTGTAGATCTCCTTGCTCCCCTGGACAATGGGTTTAGGGGATGGGGGGGGGAGGAGGAAGATGGATGAGGGGGGAAAGGAGAGGGAAATTGGCACCCTAACGGCTCTTTTGACATTGCGCATCTTCCTCAGCCTTCCTACGCAGTCTCCCAGCCCAAGTCTTCCTTCCCTCCCTCCTTCCCTCCCTCCCTCACTCCCTCCCTCACCCCCGGGTAAAGGGAGACGGAGTAGCCGTCCCGCAAGGCCCGATTGGCAGAGGCCCTCCCGGCGTCCACGCCCCCCAAGAGGATCGATACCTCCCGGATGGGCGGGATCCAGAACAAGGGGCTGGCGGCCAAGGTCTTGAAGTGCACGCCCGGGAAGAGCTTCTCCCAGAGGCCCCCGTAGATGGCAAAGCGGGAGAGAAGGAGGATGCCGTGGGGGTGCCAGCCGAAGATGTACTGGGTGGCGGGCGAGAGTTCCACCTCCCGTTCCACTTTGAAAGCGAGCGTGCGCTGGACACAGCGCCAGAAGGGGCGCCGCATGAGAAGGCGGAAGGGCCACCCCCCCAGGCGTTGGAAGGGGATAAAATAGGAAGGGAGGTAGAGGCCGGCCAGGACAAGGGGCCAACGGTAGCCGTGCCGGACCAGGTAGATAAAGAGGAAGACGAGAGAGTAAAAGACTTGGATGTAATGCACCTGCGGGGCCGAGAAGGATGGGGGGAGGGGATAAATGACAAGGGGACGGTTGAGCACAGGGTGCTGTTGCCGTGGACGATAATGGACACGGGCGGAAGCAACCGCAGGGACCGACTACGTACGAGGAGGAAGGTGATGACGAAATCAACGGCTTGCGTGGCTGGGTGGACGGGCGTGGAGAAATCCAGCTTGGCAGGCCCCCGGACGGGGGCGACTATGGACGAGTCCTCGCCCGTCAAGAAGGAAAGGGTATTCGAAGAGGAAAAAGAAGCCCAGGATGAGAGCGTCGCGGACGTGCGCCGGCGGTGTCCTTGTCCTGCCGTGCCTTTGTTTCCTGTGTCGAGAATATGCTCGGTAAGGGGATCCTGGGGCGGTCTTTGTAGGTGTCGTATGTCAGACTTGGAGGCGTCTTCGGTAGTGGCAATGGCCCCGTTCTGTCCAGGTACAGCAGCGACTTGGCTTGTTGTGGAGTGCGATGGAGCAAGGCAGGTCGACTCCCTCGCCTTGTTCGCCACGTCGGGCCCTTTCCATGTACTGGCGGTGGTGGAGGGCGAACAAGGGAGTGGATCGATTTCAGAGGAAAGGATGGAGTGCTTGTCTTCTGCCAAGGAGGAGGAACTGCTGCTTGTGCTGCTCCCACTCCCATTCCTACGCCGAAAGAAGGCAGTCATGTGTGACACTGCACTCCTGTGCCGGACTGCCGGTGCCTCCCAGGATTTTGCCTGGAAAAGGTATGTGAAGCTCGGATGCGTGAGACCCGATGGCGGTTGGCATGTCGGAATCATCTGCCTACCAAAGCTGCGTGTCAGATGCCGACAAAGATGCCATTTCTGGCACTTGACCCATGTCTTGTCCAAGCAGAAATTGCTGCAGTCGTCTTACTCCCCTTCCTTCCCGGACATGGGCGAAAAGGAAAGGCTCCGACGCTAAAGACCTTTCCTGCAGAATTTTTTCTGCCCCTCCGAGAGCGGCGGCAGCGATGGCTCAAGCGACGGCGCGACACCTTGCTGGCCTCGGGAGGCTCCGAAAAGGACACGCCTGGCGCATGCTGTGTGCAGGATTGCACCCTTGCAGGCCTGATGAGGGCATTGAGGGCATCATAGACTGCTGTGTGGTCGCATCCGAGCCAATGGGGTTGATCTTGGAGGCGTGTTCGGGAACAGACACGTCCCAGTGGAAGGATCTTGAGCCTTGCTTCCTCTCATATCTTTTGTAGGAGGCCACTATCGGTAGAGGTTCCCATAGGGCTCATCACAAAAGGTTTGGTAAGTTTGATCCAAGTTGTTTTTGTGTCAGGGGAGTGAATTTTGGTTTGACAGATTGTAGGCCGCCTGCGCCCCCACCGCGTGAAGGACCTTTGGTGGAGCAATCCCCACACCCTAGCTATGCCTTTCCCCAACGTGTTGTGGAAGAAAAAAAGTAAAATTAAACAACAATACAACGCTCTCACAAGGCACTTGCTTCAATTGCAGTCAATTTTGGTCGAGGGTTTGGATTTCTTTAACTTTTGTCGATGCATCCTGCCTTCCTGAAAGAGCAACGAGTACCCTTTCCCACCAAGTCTTTTTCTCCTTGCGCCTCTTCCTGTTTAGTTTCCCGCGTCGCACTCCTCTCTACCCGTGTGGCATGCCTACCGCTTCTTTCCAGACTTCTCTTCGTCGCCCGAGTACATATTCAACAAGAGGGAGTCCGCAGACAGATAGACCTTCTGACCCGAAGAGGACACGACATTCGCAATGTCCCTGGCTGCGTCGATTTTGCGCAGCTTGATAAAAGCAGGATTCTCTCGAATGGCCTTACCCACCAGAGCAGCGGATTGGGCCTCTCCCTCCGCTTTGATAATGATGGCTTCCTTTTCTTGGTTCGCTTTCATTACCACATATTTCGCGCGCTCGGCTTCCTGTTGAGCTGTGGTAGACCGTAGAGAGCGGTTAGCATGTGGTTTCGGAGGCATGTGGTTTCGGAGGTCACGGAAACGCCAACATAAACCCCAAGTAGCTATGTAAAAACAAGCTCAAAGCTTTCACCTTCCCCTCCATCACCACTGCTTCCCCATCCTCCATGTAAAGTCTCCCCTACGCCTCCCCTCTCTCCCTCAGCCCACCTCCGACTTGCTCCCTTCGGTCCCTCCCTCTCCCCTTCCCCCATTGCCACACTCACCAACTTGCTTGGCCTCGACCGCGTTCGTGTACTCCCGGGAGAAGGTCAAGTGGGTGATCGACACGTCGTCCAGGACGATCCGAAACTCCTTCGCACGCTTCTCCAACTGCAACCGGATTTGGGTGGAGACCATCTCACGCTTCGTCAAGAGCTCCGCGGCGTTGTACTTGGCCACCACGGCCTTGGAGACCTCGTTGACGATGGAAGGGAGGACACGCTCGTCGTAGTCGCGACCCAAGGTGCGGAAGATCCAGCGGAGTTGAGCCGAGTCGGGCTTAGACAAAACGCGGATGGTGATGTTGACCATTTGCATGTCTGGGGGAGGGAGGGGAAGAAGTGAGCGGGGTGGGAGGGTCTTCGCCACCCGAGCAGGATGGGAGAACGCGGTCCCTCTAGGATGGATGGATGCATGCACGCGCAGGGAATTCCATGTAGAAGCAGCCGATACGTACCTTTGCTTCCTGTCAAGGACTGGATCATCCGGGGCTTGGGGCGGATGTCGTAAATGATGGGCATGTCGAACCAGGGAATCATAAAATGCATTCCCTCCATGTACACTTCTTCTTTCACACCGATTAATCTGTTGAACAACAGAGCTCGGTGCCCACCCTCCACCGTGTAAAAACTATTGTACCCGGCGTAAAGGATGCCCGTCACACCTAGCAAGGCTCCCAGCGGTCCTGCTGGAGACATGCCCCCGGGGCCACCCCCTCCACCCCCGCCACCC